GATTAGGTTACGGGCTAAGCATAATCTTATTAAACAAGTATTGTAAAATTGATTTTGAAAGTAGCCTTTTTTATTTTTATGTTTTTCTTGTTACAAAATAAATTTCTCCAGCTTCTTTTGTTTTCGTAAAAAAAACACCTTTCTTCTAATTGTAAAAGTTCTCTATTTAAGTTTTTAAAAAGATCATGAGAGACTAACATGAAACTCTTTTTCACATCAGCTCTCAATTTTATCAAAACAGAAAAAAAAAAAAAAAACCCATAGAAACACACTCAAGAAAACATATCTATGTAATTTTTGCTCTTCTCGCCTATGTGCCCCCATTTGATGCAGCTTTTGATTTCTCTTATGGTTCTCAGTTCTTTTAACTTATTGCAGTTCCATTTCTAACCAACCCATCGGCAGAAATTTAGAGCATATCTCCACCTTAAGTTCCTCTTTTAGGGTCTTCCTTCTTTCTCTTTATTTATCTCTTCCTTATTCGTATGAAAATTATGTATAGGTTCATTGTTTATTGCTTATATGAACATTAAATTTAGACAAAATTAAATTACTAAAACTAATTTAATTAAAAATAGTAATTCATTTAACTGTCCCTAGTATAAAAGATTGAAACAAAGTTATTAAAGTATATAATTTCTCTGTTAATTTCTAATAATTATTATACAGTGTTTAGAGGAGGAAAGATTCTTGTCACTACGCATGATATAGATGAAGGAAAATTCCATGGTGGCTAGTCATGTCTTATAGATTTACTAAATACTCATTGCTAAATTAGACCTTAAATTTGTGTTCTATGATTAAGTTCATTAGACATTTTTAATCAATATTTTAACATTGGTTAATCTATAATTATTCATGGTAACTCTAAATCCGTAATTGATTTATCATAGTCCTAATTTAATTAATTATATTGTATTTTTAATGGCTTCAACTGGATTAGACTCCTTAATCAAATCATTATTTTAAAATTAATTAATCACATTAGTCAATATCTAAGATTCACTCATGCATTAATTACAAGTTTCTTCCATTACTTTAAAGCCAAGGGAAAAAAATTATATAGACTAATGTGTTAGCCCATTAGGTTCAGTATCTAGTTAGGAATAGTTTGTTAATAATCATATTAATTTACTAAATAATTAGATAAATTATAATTACAGATTATGTTAAACCTATAAAATGTGAGTGAG